AAAAATCAACCTTGAAACCATGCACTGAACAATGTAAGAGGTGATAAATTAATGGATATGTGAACCTAAAACCTAGCTAAACATTTGCAAACGAAGGCGATTTGAATAATTCATATAACATTGCATATGTCCAATATCCAAGCGCAACTATGTCTATATCAAATATCGAAAGAAAAGACATTAAATGATCTTTAAAGTGTTGCAACTTTTGCAAGTGAGCATCCCCAGCCAATAATCTTTTGGGGTGGTTATTAGGAGAGAGATTGTGAATAAACAATAACAAAAATGTAGAGAGAGAAATTGGTGAGAAAAAAAAAGATCAATAACCTGGTTGCACAAATAACCGGTTATATGAAGGCTTGTTCATTGAATAAATATTAGTGCCAACTTGCTTTTGATGCCTTTCCTCGTTTATTGTTGGTGATGTGGCAAATGGATGGTATGATACACAATGCATTGATCAATGGCCAAGATTTATTCAGATATAATAACCATTATTTTGTAGTTTTTTCTAACGACCATAATTTTAAAAATAAAATTCTATGAGTGAAAAAATAAAATAAAATTATACAACAGCTCTATTTTATTTTCCTCTATAAAAGGAGCCCAATATTGAAGTATTTTGAAACAACTTTTATGATAGTGAATATTACTCGTAAAACAAATTGTATAGAGACGAACATTTCAATATCCAATGGAGAAAAAAAAAGCCCTGCAACATCTCAAAACACATCACAACCCCAAAATAATCCAAATCTTCAACCTTAGTATTCTAACCTTCCAATTGATCTCAACTCATATTTAGATACAAATTTTCAACAATGTTGAAATTATGGTTCACAAAATCTCAATTTCTCAAATCTAAGTACTCTTACTCAATCTCCTTTTCAACCATCACAGCCCAATGGTTCACAAATCTTAATTTCTCAACTCTAAATGTATGTTAATGTGTAATTATTAGTTTTGATTGATTATTAACAAGTACATTAGTTATATACGATAGGATTTAAGAGAGAGATTAAGTGGTGGGGTTGGGTAAAAGCAGAAGAAAGAAAATGTATAACCAAAAATTTGTAGTTAACCATTGAGATATATTGATTATAAAATGGGTATAAGAGTGGTTATAGATGAGGTGGAGGATAGAGAAATGAATAAAATAAGTGATAACCACAACAGTTGTGGGCAACCATTGGTTCACTCAAAAAAGAAATGGAAGAAATAAATTTTAATTTAGACATTATTTGACAATTAGGCTCTGTTTAGTTCACCTTATTTTTGCTTATCTGAACTTATATGTCCTGGTATGATCTGATTTGATCTTATCTATTTTGGTCTGATCTGATCTGATCTGGTCTGATCTAATATGATCTTATAGTCTAATTTGACCAAACTTTTACCTTAAGTGTACGATAATCTGTAAGAAAAAATGTATCAAATGGGATTTTGTTAGATTCGTAATAATGTGTAATTTAATAATATGTAATTTTCATAATTTTTTTTTCCATAACGATATTAAAGATATTTAGCGATAATTATTAGTTAATTATTAGTTGTTATAAAGTTTTAATGTGTAAAACAACCAAAAAAAACACTAAAAGTTCTTTAAAAAAGCTCACTATGTTTTTTAATACCCCTAACCAAACAATATAAAGACCATTTTATAGCATCTAAAACTCCTAAAAATTCCTAACCAAACATCCTCTAATATATCAGTTTAGTTAAGTTCAATTCAATTCAAAAAAACGAGAGCTACCTATGTGCCACGGTCCTGGATTTTGAGCACCGGAACGTGCGGCACACTCTAGCCTTTTGGAGGCAAGAACGCTAGCCTGAGTGCGGAAGAGGAGCTTGTGAGCACAAAGCAACACAAGCGGGCAATTAAATCTCAAGAGTGCTCACGTCTTTTGGCGACGGAGTGCGGGTGGTCGGGGCTTGTGACGGCCAATACTTCAAGGCGGGCACAAGTGGGTCCGAACCACTAGTTCTTATAGCATCAAGTTGGTGTGGAGGGGAGCTATTATGCAAGTAAGACACAATATCTATAAAGTAAGACACAATATCTATAAACCACAAGTAAGACACAAGCATAAAAGCAAGGCAACACTTGGTAGAAGGCTTCTTGATTTCATTAATCATTTGCCCTCTAAAGAGCTTTAAATGGTTTACATGCTAGTGAACAATGAACTGACGGTAACACAATAATACATCAAAAGGAGTCAGATTCTAACATCCTCCCCCACTTAAGCTGTCAACGACCTCGTCGACTTACAAGAGTTATAATCAAAATTTTAAAATCGTAATCTATCTTGAGTCTCTGGTGCGTCGTTGATGCGACTGGCTTGTTAAATCTTCGTCGACTCTGGATCTGGATCTTCGTTGTTGCTGAAGAGTTTGTCTCTGGGTTGGCACTTCTCGAACAACTTGTTAAGAGCTTCATCTCCGAATTTCCTCCTAGGAGTTGTATCTGTTGGGTTCTGGTGGAGAGCTGCGTCCTCAATCATCTGTTGGGGAGATGCTTCCTTGAGATTGTGGTGGTGAGCTTCTGATTGTGGCTGGTGCCTCTTGGGTATCCATTCTTTTTGCGATCCCTTGCATGTCATCTCTGTTGTTTGCTCGACCACTATACTCCCTTTCTCTTGGGAGGTTCCTCTTTTGTGTCTCCTTGGTGTCTCTAGGCTCGTCGCTGCTTGCTTCGAGCAGTGTTTCTGATTCTTGTTTTGGCGAGGGTGTCTCTTCGATGTTGTCGGCTCATTGGGCTTCATCTCCCGCTTCTCAGGGTCTCTGGTGCGAGCTTGTTCCTTCGATGTTGCCTCCTTCTCTGGCTCCATCACTCGCATTGTCGATAGATATCGGAATTCTGGTTCTTCCTCTAGTGCTATCATTCCCATAACACTCATTCGATAAATGGAGTCCATCTTGCATGTGGGCTCCTCATTGCTGTTTGTCTCTTTGTTCTTCCCTTTCTCCTTTGGGGCCTCCTGTACGGACATGGATGACAATCTCATATGAAGCTTCTCAATCTCTTCTTTGTGCTTGCACTCCCACCATTTGCATGAGCCTGAACAAAGTATGCAGTTCAGCGACCTTATGTTTGCCGAAGACGTGCCGGCCTTGGAGTTTGCGGAGTTGTGGGAGGGGGTCGATGTGGATCTCTGAACATCACCTCCTTTACTTCTTCTTTGATATCCATCAACGGTGTTGGACGATACTCGAGAGCCGACCTCTGTATCTTTTGGAGAGCTTGGAGCCGAGCTATCATAGCGTGTTGACGTCCCACTTGAATCATTCTCGGATTGACGGAACTTCCTGACTAAGGCCTTGTTTAGTTCAACTTATTTTTACTTATTTCAGAAAAAATAAGTTCAGATCAGATCAGATTAGAAAAAATAAGTTCAGATCAAAACATCGTTTTATGTGCGGTTTTTTATCGCTAAATATTCTTAATTTTGTAACGAGAAAAATTGTGAAAATTACATATTAATAAACTACACATTATTACGAATCTAACAAGATCCCACTTGATATAATTTTTTCCTTATAGATTATCGTACACTTAAGGTCAAAGTTTGGTTAAATTAGACAATTAGATCAGATCAGATCAGACCAGATCAAACCAGACAAGATCTGTAAAAATAAGGTGAACCAAACAAGGCCTAAGTAGTCCATCAATCTCTCAGCAGCACACATGGCGGCAGCGAGGGTGTCAATTTTCTACCTTAAAATCTCTCGTCGTGTCCATTCCTTTAACCCATTGACAAAGTTGAACACTCGATCTTTCTCATTCATGTCTACGAAGTCCAACATTATCGCTGAGTATTCCTTCACATAGTCGCGAAGAGAGCCCTTCTGGCGGCACTCTTGCAACTTCATCCGAGCAACAAAGTCTGTGTTGTCGGGGTAGAATTGTTCTTTGAGTTCCTTCTTGAACTCCACCCATGTATCAATTTTTATTCTTCCTGCTTCGATGTCAGCATGCTTGGTGTGCCACCAAAGCTTAGGATCTTCGGACAGGTACATGACGGCAATATCCACCTTTTGATTGTCACTCAATTAACATATTCGGAAGTACTGCTCCATGTCGAAGAGGAAGTTATCAACTTCTTTTCCATCTCTAGCGCCACTGTAGTCACGAGGTTTGGGCGGTTTGATCTTTACCGCACCAACACCACTAGCGTCTCTGCTCACTGCGGACATCAAGGTAGCACATTTCTCAAGTGCTTCATTTGCTTGTCCTTAAACAAAGTTCAATTGCTCGCAGAGCGCATCTCTATCCTCCATCAATTCCACAATTTGCTCGGCTTGCTCTTGCATAATGACTTGGATATGGGACCATTTGTCCGCTTTCGTCTCGAGCCAACCGAGTCTTTCTTCAATGAATTCCATCTTTGTGTAGCCCTCCTTGGTGCCTACACGGTTCCTTCCGACAAGGTTTGGACCTCGGCTCTGATACCAACTGTCACGGTCCGAGATTTTGAGCACCGGAACGTGTGGCGCGCTCTAGCCTTTTGGCGGCAAGAACGCTAGCTTGAGTGTGGAAGAGGGGCTTGTGAGCAAAAAGCAACACAAGCGGACAATTAAATCTCAAGAGTGCTCACGTCTTTTGGCGACGGAGTGCGGGTGGTCGGGGCTTGTGACGGCCGATACATCAAGGCGGGCACAAGCGGGTCCGAACCACGAGTTCTTATAACATCAAGTTAGTGTGGAGGGGAGCTATTATGCAAGTAAGACACAATATGTATAAAGGTCTAACAATAAACAAGCATAAAAGCAAGACAACACTTGGTAGAAGGGTTCTTAGTTTCATTAATCTGCCTTCTAAAGAGCTTTAAATGGTTTATATGGAGAATCCTTAGTGAACATTGAACTACCAGTATCACAATAATGAGATCTAAGACCTAAAAAGCATAAACTAAACCGTAGAAAGCATTAAAAGAGCATCTAATAAATCAAAAGGAGTCGGATTTTAAATTTCTAACACTATGTCTTATGCCATCTTTTTAATTTTGTTGAGTGAACTTGGAGGAAAGAGATTACTGCGAAATCAAACGCTGTCTCTGTTCAGGTGCTCTACGCCTCCACCCTTTTCTCCCCTGTTCCCTTTTTAATTTTCTTTTCGAGTATTCTTGTTTTTGTGAATTTGCATAAACCCTAGGCAACAAATTCGAAAATTTCATTGCCGAATTAACAGTTTATACTATTTCAAACTTCTTCAAAAAGAATTTCAGTGTAAAATTTCCGATTATTGTTATCTACCAATTGAGTAACGCTTTTTCGAGGTAACTTTTCATATTTCGTTGATCGGCTGTTATATTCCTTGTCCTGATTTCATCCCCAATTTTAAGCTTTTAATTTTGATGTCTTGATTTTAATTGTATCTATTGTTTGGGCTTAATTTTTAAACTTAATTTGGTGCAACAGTTGGTATCAATTCTTATGAGTGATATAGTTTTTTTTTAGGAATCAAAATTGTTTGATTGCTTACCAAAAGATGTTTGATTTAATTATGATTAATGGAATTTCAATGATTTGCCAAATTTTGAACTTAAAAGACTATTACAGTGCTGCCTAATTCATGGTATGAACATGGGTGAACAGAATTTACTACCTAGTTAAATTAATCTAAAAGCGAATTCGCATGTTTCGTATTGCAATTGTTGGGGGTTGTAGCAACTAGGTGACACTGGATGTCTGGACCAGTATTAATTGATGATTTGTGACTTTACACAAATGATTTATTTATTTAGTATGTTTTATTTGGAAATGCTGCAGGCTAGATCAGTATCGCGTCCGTGCTTAATTAGAGAGGTGGGAGGCATCAAGAGGGGCAGTACTGAATTAAAGGTATCATCTTATTACATTGCAATAGTGAGTTGGCATTTGTTCACTACTTATTGGGATTGTTAAATCTTAAAAGTTTAAACCTGGAGTTTTGATTCGGTGCTGTCAACTGTGATAGTAATTTCTGTCAATATTGGGTACTGAGGTGGTGGCACTGAAATTTGGTGAACTTTTGTGCAACTCTACTGGTATTTTGAGCAGGGATGTGAATTTAGGGGGGAATTCATTGAGTTGATGATAGTAATTATATGGGTTCAGCAGTGCTAAACTTTGTGCTAAATCTGTGGCCTTTTACGGGCCTCAGAGTTGATGACGTGACACTATCTGATCGTCTGGTTAGGAGATTTTCACTTCCTGAACACACCCAGCAATTTGTTTTTGCTATTAGTGAGCCAGAAAATGAGGCCATTGTATATATTCTTGCTGCACAAAATTTGTCTGAAAGATCAGCTAGAGATGCTGAGTATTTAATAAGGGAAGTACGACCTGATGCAGTTGTTGCCTTGGTTGGTCATAATACATTGTCTGAAATTCATGATCATGAAATGGTTGAAGGTATGGAAGATCTTGTTCCAACTTCAGTTTTTAGAGTTTTGATGAGGTGTTTTATGGACAAAATAAACAAAGACAATTATGAAAATCTTGCTGGAAACTTAGTTCTGAAAGAGATATTCGGTGTTGGCTTCTATGGACACTTCTTTGTTGCAAAAAGGTTGGCAGAGGAAATTGGTTCTTCATTCTCGGTCATTGAGTCTCCTTTGATAAAGACAGCTAGTGCTGACATTGATCCTTCTACTGAGACTAGTAAATCCAGTAACATGCTTCAAACTTTGGCCTTGCAGCCAGCTAGCTTGGTTCCTCAAGATTGGGGTTCCCTAGTTGGTAATTCCCGAAGACTTATGTATAACAGTGATGTCCAGTCGCATATGATCACATTGGTTTGTCCATTCTTATCCCAATCATTAACGAACTTGGGTATTTCTGGCTCTCTTGAGGATGGAGAGTCAGGTATAATGGAGTCCAGATGCAATTATTGTCCCCCATCATTTGCCCAAACGGTTTATCCCTTACTCATGGATCTTCATAACATTTTTGCTGACATTCCATCTATAGGTCGTGCTCTGGCCTATGCACAGAAAATGTTTCTTGATGTGGGTAAAGGAGAGGGCATTGATGCTGATCTATTGTCTGAAGTTTATACCTTCAGAATTGCAGTTGAGGGGCTGAGGATTGCTCTGAATAACGCTGGTAGACTCCCACTCCATAAATTAGGTAAATGTATGCCAAGCCAGATTGATTTTAATGAGTTATCAATTGAGGAAAAATCCCATTGTCTTCTTGCCCAAACCCTACGCAGTCAGGCAAAGAAGTCTAAGACAGTAGTAGCAGTAGTGGATGCTAGTTGCTTAACGGGTCTTCGGAAGTTTTGGAACACTCCAATTCCCGAAGAAGTTAAGGATATGGTTGAAGAACTTATCGTATGCCAAGACATTGATGCAGAAAGCATCAATGATAAAAGGAAGCGTCTGTTGTCTGGTAAACCTGTAGTGGCAGTTGCTTCTGGTGCTACTGCGGCTCTGGGGGCATCTTCCCTTTCTAAAGTTGTCCCTGTGTCATCTATTGTAAAAGTTGTTATGGTTAATGTTCCAGCATCTTTAAAACTTTTCCTTACACAAACACATAAAGCAACTTTATATGCACTAACCAAAATTCTTGGTCCATCAAAAATTGTGGCTCCGGGCTTTGCAACTTCTGGTGCTAAAGCATCTACTGCACTTAAGGCAGCTGCTTCTGCGGAGAAAATTCGAGTCATTACTCATAGTGTTATAGCTTCTGCTGAAAAGACTAGCTTCTCAGCTATGAGAACTACGTTCTATGAGATAATGAGGAAACGACGGGTTCAACCGATTGGTAGCAGGCCATGGGCTACCTTTGGCTTTAGTGTGGTTAGCTGTGCGGGATTGCTTGTTTATGGTGATGGAATTGAATGTGCTGCTGAATCTTTCCCTGCAGCCCCTTCCATTGCCAGCTTGGGCCGGGGTATCCAAAATTTGCAGCAAGTGTCACAATCCATTGGAAACTCATGTGGAAATAAGATTCAGAAAGCTATAGAGTCGTTGATGTACAGGTTTAAAAAAGTGAAGATCCAGTAGAATGAGAATCTATGACTTCCTTTTTATATTATCCTAGCTGTTAGTGGTATTGAATTCATTGATGATACTTCATCCCATTGTCTGGAGAATCAGGAGTACATACATAATCCAACGAAGGGTGGGGGTTTGTATTGATGACTGGTATTTTCCACTTTCTTTCCGCCAAAATTTCTCATTAATTGATAACATGCTTCTTTTATCTACTTATTTTTTTGTTGAGTATACAAAAACAGTGTTCGCTTTTTATAATATGCATATCTGGCTTGTCAAACTAGTCTTCAAGAGTGCAAAGGCGAAACAACAGAAAAAAGGCATAATTCCTCTGTCCTGAACTGTTATGTAGAAAAAAGTTATCATCTGATAGTAGTGACTTGTGATAAAAATTTCTCAATATGTCACGACTTACATAGTTAAATGTAGTGATAAAAATAGGATAGATATGGCCCAACTACCTAAGATTTTATCTTTTGTATTATCATGCCATTTTCTTCATTTTTGAGGGGTTAGGACAATTTGACAAGCAGTTTTCAGGAGTCAGAACCCAATCAAATGATTGTGCATTATTGCATTAGGCGTAACATATTGTGGTTTATGGTAATAGACTTATGTACTTGCTTTTTCTTGAGTAAGTGGCCTTCCACTTCTACCTCTTATAAAGCTGAGGGCCCTCCCCTGTGTAGCTCTCTTCACTTTCATTTCTTGGGCTGTATATTTATTCATTTACTTCTTCCGTTTTCTTAAAATTTGTAACACTTCCCTAAATGGAAATGTCACAATATTATTACCCTTATATTAAGCTCATAGCCCACTTAATTATATTCCTAACAATCTTTCAACCGCATTATAAGTGTGTTAAATCATGTGAGACTCACTTTTCTTAAGTACCGTGAAAAAGTGTGTGCTGCAAGTATTAAAAAACGAAGGAAGTATTTATGTAGAATTGTAGAGAGAGCCATAAGGGCAATGGTGTAGACAAGATTTGATCTTAGGTTTTGGGTATCACCCGCCAAAACTTTAACAAAGCTAGTTAGCATTTTTGGGTTCTGTAGATGAGTAACTCACATAAGCTTGGTGTAGTGGTTGCAAGTGAAATTATTTTGTTTAGCAAATTAGTTATCTTAAAGAAGCACAACAATGGTTGAAAACAAATTATTTTATGATCCGAGAATAAAAGATTGGATGTCACATGGACTTTTGGAGAAGTTTTATTCTGTAAGCCTGTTAATCCTTATGGTAGCATTTCTTGTGTGTTTGTTGGGACTCCTTGTGTAGATTTGCTTCTTTCTTTCTTCTGCTTAGTTTTATGCTATGAAGAATAAATAATTAATTTGAGTTGAATTTTTAATACATTTAAATAGTGTTTAACTTTTGAGTAATAATTTGAATGAAAGTTAAGGGCTCCTTTGGAGCTTTTCCTCAAAAAAAAAAAAAAAAAAAAAAAAATAAAATTTGAAAGACTACTCCCATAGAAAGGTATCTAAAGTTTCAATTGCAAAATTATGTAGCAGACTGATATTATCACCCTCTATTGATCTTTTAAAAGCGGAATAGTATGTAGTGACTGTCTTTTGCTTTAGACCCAATTCTGAAATGAGATAATAAACGAATGTTTTGGTTTGCTTGATTTGCTCGACTAGTTTATGGTGATGTAGCATTTGTACCTGGCATTAATGATGTGAACGGCGGAACCCTAGAGCCACAGTTCTATGTTCAGTCTGGTATCTCCCCACTATGTTCAGTCTGTCATATGTGCACTTTAGCTGCAATTTGATTCTGATATATTCTATTACCACATGTCTTTGGACTGAATTTCTTGCTCAATTTACTTTTTTGATTGCTATCTCTTATTTATTGTTAACCCACTAAATGCCTCCTTTGTTTCTTACAATCTTTTCACGCTTCACTGACATAATTCATTTTTTAGTTTATACACAGTAGAACAGTAGGAATAATAGTATTGGTATGCTACTTTGAATTTTACATGTATCGTGAATAACCTAGAAGCTTTCAATAGGGATGGAAGACATATATTGGCTAAATTGCAGCATCTTGTCTTTAGTAAGTAGGCATTAATCTACTCTTTTATTTGATGATCCCTCCCTTTTTGCTGCTTCCCTCTTAGGTTGGGAGGGGTGGTGGTGTCGCCAAGATGTTAATGGCCGAGCAAATCCTGCCATGCTCTCTCCTTGTGTATAAAAGTTGCGCTATGGCTCCTATAGGGCCAAGCGCCTTTGGCTGAGGCTGCACAATTTCAAAGTGGCTTACTAAAGTGCATTAAGACGAACAACTGTTTATTCAAAAAATTTAATTTTAAGTTGTGCATCTCACTTCAATGCGGCGCAACTAAGGTGTGAAAGGATCCCTATCACTTCAGTGCGCCGCAAGGTTTTATTTATTTATTTATTTTTAAACATTGCTCTCTTGAAATTAGTATTGGCAGATGTTTTCTTGTATTTTTTCTCAACTCCAGTAACAATTCTTCATTCGAATTGATTAATTGTTTTTCTATACTACTATCAGATTATTGTTTAGGAATTGAGGTAACAGACGTTTGTGCTGCTTTATTTTTACCCTATAAGTCGAAGTGAGTTATGGTGATTCAATCGTCTTCTCCTCATACAATGAGTCATGGGCTTCAACTCCCAATTCCCCAGTTCAAACTAAGAATTGCTAAGAATTGCTTCTGTTTCCTCTTCTGGCTCTTGAGCTGTAAACCAGGAAAAAGGGTTCTTATGTTCAATAAAACAGTACATGAAAGGCAAATATCTACTTGCTGTAAACTGAACAATCTTTCTGCAAGTGCCCTATAGACAAAAAAAAAAACAGAACTTTGCCCTGCTGTTGTTCTTTAAAGATGATTGTGACAAGTATCTTCTGTGTTCTATTGCTCATCATATATTGCCTGGGCTTGTTTGGGGATGATCAGTCAAGGTTTTTTATTTTATTTATTTATTTTTTGAAATTGCTACCCACCTATTGTAGATGGGTCAGTCAAGTTGTATTTTCATTTAATATTGACCATTTGATTGTGGAAATGCCAGCTTTCTTTTCCAAATTATCTTAAATCTTATTTAAATTCTTTTTTTTAATGTTATTCCAATTAATTATCATTTGAGGGGCTTCATTATGCTTCTTCCATATTTCAAGCTCTTACTATGTTGTAAATAATATGATATTTTTCCTCAAAAAAAAAAAATGATATTTTCAGTCAGACAAATTAAACAACTAAGTTGGAAGAACACTTGAAGTGATGGTGTGATCCTCTTGAACAATGCATTAAGGAATTATGTTCAGTCATTAGACGCAGTTGAGTAATCCCTTCTAATTTTATTTTCAACACCAAGTCATTATAAGGTTTCTATTGTTGTATTTTAACAATATTTGTGTGTCCTGTGGATATCATTAGTTAATCGTGAAGTTGCAATGGGTATTTGGAGTTCGGATGATAAACCTTGATTCTAGTGTTATTAAGCTGATGAATTTGATGATTTCATCGTCAGAGGAATGGCAAGTTTTTATGTGTCTTTGAATTCTGAAATGAATATTTGCTGTTTTGGTGGATATTTAGCCATGCCTGGTCAACATCTACCATAAGCTGGAAGTTGGTGTTTGCAGATTGCTTTTTACCCCCCTAAAATTTTTAATGTTTACAATGCTCTTAGTAATTCTAGAATAAGGGTCTGAGCTCCTAGAAATTGTAAATTTCTTGTATTTCCCCATGCCTTCTACCAACGCCCTCCATAGTTAACTACTGCTATATAATGTTTGTTAACGCTCTGGCTTGTAGGGCAGGAGTAATAGGGCGGAGCCAGTGGTAATGGAGTAGGGGCAGAAAAAGCAAGGTCTCAAGAAATTTAATGAGAAGAGGAAAATCAAAGAATAGGACATCAATCTGCTATACAGGAAACTGTACAACCAAAATATCTGCCTTATTACTACTGCTTTAGAGATGAACCAGTTGAGCTTTGCTGCAATTTTGTTTTGGTTTCTTTTGAATTTTTCCTTTGGCTGAAATGTTGATGCTTAATGTCTTTTGCTGGGTGATTGAAAGGTATTCTTTGTCATTTGATGTTTTCTGAGGTTGTAACGGATAACTATGCATATCTCTTCTATTTTCGTCTCCATTAAATTGAGCATTTCTGATTTATTACTTTGGTATGATTAAAGGCTCTTCTATTTTGTCTCGTTTATTGATGCTTTACTATTTGACTTTCATGACAGGTTGGATTACTATCAATTGAAAGGCCATTTACCTGAAATCAGAGGGACTACAAGGTCTATGCATTTTCCCCATGGCAGTTACTGACCAGAAAAGACAAACAAAGGTAATTTATTTGTGTTTTTTGCCATTAGGATACTTTGTTAAGGTTTAATCTTGTGCATTTTCTGCAGTAATTTTCTCATTGACTTGCCTATGTGCTAACTTGGCTGTCTGGCTAGATTACGATATTTTTATTAAATTTAAATTGATATTTTCTTCCATAGCTCATTTCAAATGCACCTAGGCTACATGGATTAGTCTATCACTTGTGCTTTTATTCACTAGCCATTCAAACGGTTTTAATCTCAAGCATTGTTATCTTACTGGTTTGTTGGAGATGTTTGATGCATGCAGCTATAGCTTCCTGGGATGAGAGAGAGAGAGAGAGAGAGAGAGAGAGAGAGAGAGAGAGAGAGAGAGAGGGGGGGGGGGGGACCTGTTAAAAAAGATATAGTAAGCCTTTTTGAATGTCGTTTGATTTTTCTTTGTTTGTCCTATATAATTTTCTTATTAAATATCTGTGTACTCAAAGTCTATACATTGCCAAAATCGTCCAAATTTAATTGAGTTGTTGCCGGCTGCCTGCTTATTTCCATTTCTGTTACCCATTTCATTCATAATACTATTTCTCTGTTAGAAATAGATGGAATTTATATTATATATGTTTAGGATGTTTAAATGGTTGGTGATACTAAAATTCCAAATGATATACAAAAGTGAATCATAACAATTAATTTAATTTGCAAATTACAGAGCATGTCATTTATACAAATGAGTTTAACTCACAATGGAAAGAAATTAATTACAACTTATATTTAATTCAAATTTCATAGAGGTGGGTTTTGAAAATTTGTTAGTGAAGAATAGTTCAGCATTATTTCCCTCCAAAAATTTACAAATTCAAAAAAATCTAATGTCTCAATAAAGTAGGTGAATAATCTATTTCCTGGAAGAATTGATTGAAATAATTAATTATTGCACTAGACAGAATGGAAATTGCAGTGAAAATAATATTACTTCCAGAAAGCACTCATTTATATAATTTCTTGTGTCTTGAGGGTGGAGAAGAGAAAATTTTCTTCGACAAGCAGTTTGCATTTGGTGACGGTGAGTAGATATTAGAGGTAATTACCATATTTTTCTTCGACAAGCAATTAGGTGATGGTGAGTAGACATTATAGGTAATTACCATTAATTGTTGGTATTAGCTAGGCCTAGAAAGATAGAGGTGAAGGCAAAGTATTTTAGTGAGATGAAATAAGGAGATAAAAGAGTCACAGGAAAAGGAGGAGAACGAGCTTGCTGCTGTATTGGCTGCTACTTGTCTGTTGTTCACCTGGTGGTGACTGATGAATTCACAAGAGGAGATATGATAGAAAGGGGAAATTAGAAAAGCAGCTAGGTAGGTCTGGCTGTACGAGTTTTCAGTTGAAATTCTCTACTTATGGGCCTTTGTAGATGATTATTAGGACAAGGAATGATTCTATATATGCAATTCAATGGGCATCCCAACACTAAGTTTAGTCAATTCCAGAATTTCTGATGGTTTATGTATTGTGTAAGTTAAATAATTTATATATATACCTGAAATCCTTTATCCAGTTGCACCATTTGATTATTTTTAGAAATTGTTGTATTGGAGTGGTAAGATGTCATTAACATTTTGGTTTGAAATATGTACACCAACAAAAAATAGTGGTTGCTTAATTTGTACTCCGTATGATTGCTTTAGATAGCTCTTCCTTGCCCTTCTCATGTTTAATGACTGTAACGTCTGTGAGGTTTTAATACTGGATGTGTTTTGGCTGGGTTGGATTTAAATTTCAGAGTTAATCCTTAGGCATAATATTTTGCATTCCTCTTGAATGCCTATCTTCCACTTGTCAGAAAATTCATGGGTGCAAAATATTGCACTTAGGCTTCATCTATAGACCAACATAGCTAAACTACTGATTATACGAAAAGGAGAACAAATATAGCCATACATGCACAGTTCATGTCCTCTCTCCTCTCTTGAGGATGCACAAACAAGAACTAAGCCAAGCATATAAAAGCAAGATGGAGTAGCATTCAAATATAGGAAGGGGATTTGTAGTCGATTAAATCTCCCGAATCTATTTCAAGCAAGTTTAAGCACAAACATCACCAAATTATTACTCTAAAGAAACTACAACAATGAATAGACTAATGAACACAACAATCAACAACCAAACTCAATTGCTAAATCAAGAGCCTACAATCTAGCATCATCTCTAAATGACTACGCTAGAAAGTAGCAAGTAAGCATTCATATAGCCATAATAAACACCAACAAGAAACTTTCAATTTAACAAACCACAACCAATCATACATATTCCTTGATATTCAAATGATCTTGGTTCATAGTATGGTTGAGCTTTCACCCAACCCTTAACTAATAAACTACTAATTAATCATACTAATCAACTCATGCAACATTCTAACATAATTGATTTCCATGGATATCCTATAGATGAATTAAAAACAATCAAGATTACAAATAATAAGATAACCAACCCTGATTAAGATTAATTCAACCATAAACACTCATTAATATGACAAGAAAGCAAGTTAAATCCATTAAAAGTCAACAACAAAGAGAATAGAGTAGAGAAAAAGATTACTAAGAGCTTTAAATTCTAAAATTTCACTTCAAATTGTTTAACTTCAATGTTGCTAATTCAAGATTACATAAACTAAGGAAGAAAAAAGGCTAAAGCAGCTAGACCTAGAAATATGTGCTTAAAACCTAAACATCTCTCCTCATTGGCGATCTCGCTGCTTTGTATGCTAACTTAGAAATTAATTACAATATAAAGATAGAAAACAAAGGTGTGAAACTACAACGGAGGCCAGGCGCGAATGTGTTAGAAAGATTTTAAAGATGGAATTTGTAGATAGAGAACATTGTGAAACACAACTAATTAAGACTTCATTAATTAATTTCCATGCTTTATGAGTACAATAGAGAGGCTATATATAAGCTTAACATTAACAAACTAAATCTAGAAAGTAGGACTCTCTAACTAACCCACTAACTGATCCACCACTAGACTACTCCACTAAGTAAAATAGTCCACTGCTATTACTAAGCCATGCACACCTCCACTAACCACTCAATAGCTACCACACGTTTTTAAACATAGGAATTTAATTTTGGCTTAGGATTGAAACTGGATTAGCTCAAATACCATCACTAATGATCTTATTGTGAGTAAAGTGTTAAGAAGTCTTCACAAAATGAAAGACTATGAGCATGCTATTACCACAATTTTAGAGTCTAAGGACTTATCAACTTAAACATTTGATGAGTTGATAGATCTTTGATGGCTCATGAAGAAAGAATGAATAAGTCTACGAATGAAAACGTTGAGGAGAAAACCTTTCAAGTTAAGGGGCAAAAATCAGATGATCGGCATTATGATAAAGGTCGTGGTCGTAGTCATGGTCGCGGTATGGGCAGTCGTGGTTGTGTTCGTGATGGAGATGGTCGTGGTTGATTCGAAGGACAACGTTAATCCATGAGTAGCATTCAATGCTACTATTGCAAAAGGTATGGTCGAAAGAAGAAATTACCAAACAAATGAAGAACTTGGCGCTTGAGATTTTGAAGGTTTAACAACGGAAATTTGCTCTCTATCTACTTTCTCTTTTTAATAATTAAGCTAATCTTGGTTTAAAATTTGATAAAATCCATATTACATGATATATACTACCTATAATCCCCCAAAAATTAGCTCAAAAGAGCTTAAAATAAGGTGATTCATACCCATAGGTGCGACCACTCCAAATAGCAGCACGATCGCGCCTTCGAATGGAGTAATTGCTCCCGCTAATCCAAATGTTGATGTAAAAAGTGATAAATGAAAGCAAAAGATAAAGCTTAACAAATAATAAACTGATATTGCTTCTTCATAATTCTACGTGATAAAAACTTAAGTACAAAAGAAATTCTATCATTTAAATAGGCTAACACTAAGCATAATTAACTTCCTAATATTAAGGCCCACTAATAACAAACTACCACTCAAAATTGGAGAAGTATACTCCACATACTACCACTAACAATTCTTATCAACTGTATACAAATTTAATTGACTCCTAAGATTAAGCCACTAACTACCTAAGGAATAGGAAACAATAACCACTTAATATTTTGAAGCAATACACCAACACCAAATACATCACTAGGTCGTTCCTTTGCAATCTTTAAGAGTGATCGCTCTTAATTTTAAAGCGGCCGCTTTAGGCCTTCTATTCGAGCACTTGGAGAGCCAAATGCACATAGATCATAGCGTTTGCTCCTCTCCTCTGTTACTCCTTGTATTTTTTTTTTTCATTTCCAAGGACTTTGGGCTCCAAGTGATGTTCCCGGATCATAATAATGATGTTCCCGAGCATTCTTTTTGAGGAATCATACAAACTCATGAGCAATAGGGAAGGGATCAGGATAGGAGGGAAAGCGAGCATAAATCATTTTAATTCATGTAATTATAATCAAAGTACTACCAAGTGAAGAGTAAAGAGATTAGGTCAAACTACAAAAAAAGGGGTTAATAATGCGAGATAAAGGACTAAATTACGGGGTTAATGAGTTATAAAAGTGGCCTAAAAACCACTTATTATACACCCCTAACTTACAAACGAAACAAAAAAAGAAAAAAAAAAAATTAAACAAAGGCAGGAGACAAAAATGTGTACTAACTCACTACTCCACCTTTGTTATATATTCCATACGTCCCACTAGATAAATATCATATTCATGGAATACGAATGACTTTTAAGATGCCTTGGTGGTGAAATGGTAGAACACGAGACTCAAAATCTCTTGCTAAAGAGCGTGGAGGTTCGAGTCCTCTTCAAGGCATAATATTGAGAATGCCCATTGAATGAGCAATTCCAAGATCTCGGGTATATCAATATTGATTTGATCCGAGATCTTGGAATTGGAATAAGTTCGGCAGCGGATCACGAATCTTGGTGATGTTATCTATCTAATGAAAGAGGGGTCCGCTTTGAAATCGTCCGCCCTGCACCCACCCCCAGTATATGCTTCAACAGGAATTGCACAAAGGGAGATTATTACAATAGAAACCTCTAGTAAAATGCCTGCCCTTAACGTACTCTGCTAATAAATTACATAGCCCGTTTTAGAGATTGGCGACAGTGCCAAATTCATCCCAGGATAGATCTCAACAAAGTTCTTTCTCATTTTCTTTTCGGTTAGTAATGATAAATAAATTTTTCTAGCGGAATTCAAAAATAACAAATACATAGACCCTTTCAATACATAAAAAATCGAATATTTTTGCTCTCAATTTCAACACGAGATCGAGGAACTTTCTTTTCTGTAAATGGATAGTTTAGAGCTCTAATTCAAAATTCTCTGGATTACCCCCCCATGAGGAATTACCTAAACATTTGACCCTTAACCCATTTCCATATAAAGGATTAGTCAATCAAATAATAGATAGTAAGTGGGTCGGTTTGCAAATCAATGAATTGCTGGTGGTAGAATATTATTCTCGTTAGATGTAACCCTAACTAAGATACAAAAGAAAGGGGTTTGGACAATTTGGCCCCTTTCATTCGGAAAAGGAAAATGACTTAAAGTTAAAAGTCGGGGTTTGCCTTAGATTTTCTCCCGCTCATATATTCTATCCCATCCCATTAAAAGTAGGAATCACAATTGTTTTTAGCATAAACAATAAGCGACTTAAATCCCATAGAATGCTCTAGAGGACAAGTATGCTATTGTAAGGGTTTCCAAAGAGTTTTACCCACAACTCTTACGTAGCATGTTCAAGACAAACCAAAAGCAAGGAGAAAAGAAGATGAAGAAAGTAAACAAAAACAACACAAATCATAACCAAGAGGCACTTTTTTAGGAAGACAAGATGGATAACAAACTTACTAAGCAAAAAAGAGTGAGCATGCAAGCGGATGCCAAGGGTTGATTGAAGGATAAACGATGGTAAGCATAGAGAACTCTATCAAGCTCCACTCCGTCTGCATCCCAACCATTCATACCGCGTTCTCTCAACTAGATCCAAATCCATCATTTCTCAAAGTTAAAATAACAAAAACAGGGGAACCCGATATATCATCAAGACATGCTCTCTCCATATGCTTTCTCAACCAATCATTTAACGTGCGCTAGGGGGTAAAGGTGTGGAAAAATTTGGGAAATTTGTGTTAAGACTAATTGTAAAGCACAAGGGTGATCAAGCCTTAAACTCAACAACAAACTCTATGCCAATCCTCAAAAATACCATAAATTTAGGGAAATCGATTTTCTTCAACCTACTTTTCGGAGACCACTTTTGAAATTATATTTTTGTTTTCTTTTCGATTTTCACTTTTTCTCATTATTTTTCTTTTCATTCATTCATTTTCAGACCCCGTTCATTTCACCTCAAAAAAAAAAAAAAAAAAAAAAGCAGTTCAGTAAAAATAAGTCCAGTTTAGTAAAAAAATTTCATTTCAGTAAAAAAAACGTTTAATTCAGTAAAAATAATTTCACTTTAGTAAAAATCAGTAACTATAATAGAAAATCAGTAAAAATAATTTCAGTTTAGCAAATATAATTTCAGTTTAGTAAAATTAATTTCAATCAGTAAATATAATTTATATTTAGCAATCCATCTCAGTAAAAATAAGTTCAGCTTACCTTGTTTGTCCTTGCCTTTTTAAAATTTGGACGACTTTTTCTTGATATTGCACTTGCTTTTATTAATTATCTATTAACAAACACAACTCTACTTCCCATTTCAACCAAAACCTTTTCAATTATCCTAACCAAAGTATCAACACAAACTTTTGTGACCATACAACTTCACAATAATTAAGGTTTAAAATAAAGCATAAGGGACATAAGATTTGTATTGAGTTCATAATGACTAGCAAAAGGGGAAAATTCAACCAAAAATGCAAAAGAACACAAAAAAGGAAATCTAAACCTTGAAAATAAATTAGTCACCGAAAAAAAAGTCCTATTCCTCCCTTTAATAGTCCTTTGTTCACCAAGGATGGTTTCCCCTTTGGGGGGGGGGGGGGAGGGGGATTTGCTTTTGGGGTGTCCTTTGCCAATTGGGGCTCGTTGATGCTGTTTGATTGCTCTTCTCTCTCTTTTGATCAAAATATTTGTTGATGTTTGATGTTGGTTTCTTCTTGCTCCCATCTTATGAAAATCCAAATCGCTTTCCTTAGTTTGTATTTTTGGTTAGCTTTATAGCGTTAGTTCCTTTTAGCTAACTTTGGACTCTTTGAGACCCTTGTATGTAATGATTTCTATTCCTTTTGCTTATCCTAACCACTTGTGTTTGGAGTGTGTTGTCTTCTAACTTTTTGTGCAAGGTGCAAAGCAAGATAATTCCATCGGAGCCGATGTGGTAAAGAATGGTAATCTATGATGGAATTGCAATTTGGTGCACGTTTGGTGAGAATGGTAATCTATGACTCTTTTATACTTGATTTGGTTGCATAGAATAAGATTAGTTCAGAACGAATTTGAATGGTTCGAGGATAAATGCAATTATTATTTGAGGACATTGATTGATCGTTAGCGATGTGGTCACAATCTTGTTTGTCGATTAGGTTTATAATTGATTTGCTGTATCCTTGATCTTTTATTTTTTTATCAAGTTGTGCATAATGATAGGTGATTTGTGTGTGTAATGTGCTACTTCCTTAGAATTAAGAGTTTGCACACTCTTGATTGCTGCTGGTTGACCGTGGAATATGCTAATGTGAAAGTACTTCTATTTAGAACTCGTAAGGCCCATCTATGATGGTGTTTGTGGTAAGATGGTATTTCTTGCATAGATAATGTGATGTGTTCCTGTGAAGATGTCTTTGATCGGAAGCTGGTGGATGCATTCATCTCAATCAATTGACTAGTTGACATCATTATCCAGAGATGTGTATGAGTAAACAAATCAAGGTATTACAAACGTTCTTAAACTGTATGCTTTTAACATTACGCTGCTGCCTTTGCAAGTGTACTTTATTTTGAATGATAATATAGGATGAAATCTTAGATCTAGCATCTAGAGCTTATGAAAAGGTTAATATTGTGATGAATGTTCAATGATCTTTAGTTTGTGGCTCATATAGTGCTAATAGTCATCTCTGATACTTTTAACTTGGCTTGTATTTGGCATGTCAAAAAAGCTACCTTTTTACTTCTTGGTGCAGGGTGCATCGAGTGTTTGAAAGTTGAAAATAATATTTTAAAAGGGTTTGTGCTATATTGTAGGTTAAAAAAAAAAAAAAAAAAAAAACAGACCTGTGCCTCTTTGTTTTATTGGGTGGAAAATATATTCTTCTGTTGACAAGTAACTGAGAACTACGTATTTATAGTTGGTTACCAAAATTATGAACACATTTACATTCTTGAAATTTATGGTATTTTGTGCTATTTTGTTGGAAAGGACTAAAAGTAATTTGGATACTAGATCTAGAATAGTGGGTTAAATAAGCAAAGTTGAAGGATAACTTAAAATGGAAAAAGCAAAGAGAATATAGGGATTTATAGGGACCATGGTATAATTTAATTTGTGAGTTTTTAATCATGACACTTAATCTTTGTCCCAATTTAATCGCACACTTTCCTTTTATGTTTATCCCAATTTGATGGGCCTACTTCCTCTGTGTGCCTACTAATGTTTTGTGTTCTCTCTCTTTTTCTACCATAAAAAATGAAGGTCCCATAACCTCTCTCATCCAATTAAATAAACAAAAATAAAAAGATTTGTCCAATATCCTCGTCACATCTACTTTCTATTTAAATATAAAAGATTAGCCCACAACAACTTATTTCATACAAATCTGTGCAAAAATTGGTGTGATGATTATAATGAAACAGATAGAGTACCATTGATCCAAAACAGTCCATGAACATTTGTTTTTGACTTAAAAATTTGACATAGAGGCTTTATGTCCCTTTGTCACTTTGTCTCTTCTCATGAGGGATTGTATGGAAAAAATTAAAAAAAATTGGCTGATAAGCTCCTCTCTAAAAGCCTTAAGTATGGGAGGCGAGCTTGTAAGCTATTCCTTCCTCACCACATCTAACTTATCACTTGTCTTTACAAGCTCAAAGTTCATATATTATGACCATGAATTACTTGTATATGTTATCAACTGAGGTCTTGTTAGGTTCTTTTTATTTGTAATTTTTTACCTTCTAGTAATTTTAGTCAATGCATAATTAGAATTACTAATGGTTAATTTGTTTCCAGATTTGAAAATAATACGTGGGAAGCTAAATGTGGGATGAAGAGGTATCTTGTCTGTTGCTGTTGTGTGCTTAATTCGGTAATTGTACTCATTTCTCTTCCAGTGATGCATCATTTAGTATTCTAACTTTCGTTGTTATTACACATAGCATGAACTCATGAAGTGCTTGTACATTTCCCTTACATCATTGTGCCACTTGTGCAAATTGTTATAATAAGAAGCATAGCATAAAAGGAAATAAGCATTGGAAAAATACTAGTGCTGCCTCTCTTTGAAATGAACTAATGGAAAATGCCTTTAAATAGGATACAAGTTACACCAAAGTTCCTATAGGAAAGTAACTAAGCAACTAAAGTGGAGTAGTGTTGTACATAGCTTACTACATGCTACCTCTTAGTGCCTGCACTTCCTCTAACTAAAATTAACTGATGTGACTAAGCAATCATAAAATAAGGAAGACTTAACATACCACTAAACACAACTATCTTACTGCTACTAGATTTAATTAGGAGACATTCTATTAACTAAGTGAAATCAGCCATTGACTAACTCTTTAATTTGAACCATATTTTTACACAAATGCCATAAGCACGTTTCTCTTGGGATTTGAACCTTTCGTTGTATAATTGCTTGGTTGTAAGTTTATTTCTTTTCTAGGTTTTTTTTTTTGGTCATGTTTCTAAATGGGTGGATATTATATATTTAGGCTGAATATTACATTCCCAACTTAAATGTGGTATATGTTTTCCGGTGTCAAAGAAAGAACGCCACATTCTCCGCCCTCTTTTTCTCTTTTCCGTTTATTCTTGATTATGAAGTTTGAGATTAAAAATATACTCCCTCCATACTTCTATATTCTATCCGATTGTTTTAGATGTTATTTACGAAAAATTTGAAAAATGTAAGTAGCTGTAAAATTAAAATAATATAGTAAGAGAGTATAAAAGGTGTAAGAAAAAGACTAAATGTTAAATAAAGTAAAAGAGTGTGTTTGGAAAGGTGTAAATGACTAAATGTGTAACACAGTAGAGTTAAAATTGAATAAATCAAAGTGATAAGAATAAATGTGGAACAAAGGGAGTATGTTCCATGAAAGATAAATTTAATTTAAATGATTTTATTGAACCAAACATAACTTAGGTTTAATACCTCCGTTCCTACTTGTTTCTCCTATTTGACTTTTCACGGTCTTCAATATATATTTTAAAATAAACCTCCCATTCTATACATTTAAAAATTATATAAATTTTATATTTATAATGAATCAAATAGGATCCCACTTAATTATATTATTTCTTAATTATAGTATATAGATAAAAATACAATGGGGCATAAAATAGGGATTGGGAGGAGAGGGCGGGGGGGGGGGGGGGGGGTTCAATATTAATATGTATTAAGTTCCATGAAAAATATAATCTAATTCCATAGGAGTCTTTCAAACCAAACATAACTATAGTTGTATTTGAGTTGCTAGCTCACTCTTTCATACCTTTCTCAACTCCTACTGGTGTTACCACATATGAGATTCAGATTAATAGAGTATATATGCAAGTATACAACCATCTCATATACCTAAAGGAACAGTGGGGAAGGGAGAGTTATATTACAAAAATTCTTCTTATTGTCACAGATTAGCTGCTTATGGTTTCAAGGAATGGTACTTTATGGTCATCATGGAGTTTCTGGTGGCTGCTCCTGTGTGTAGATATAATCAAGGTGCGCCGCCAGAGACCTCCTGAACAAGCATTCATCTTTCTCCAGCATCTCACAATTGATTTCGTCTCTGATTTCAGCTTTACTTGTGTCCTGTCATGCAACCAAAAACCAATAAATATCATGACTTCAGACAATTTTACCTCATATGCGCAATTTACTTCAATTTTGTTGAGGGGTTATTGGAAGGAGAAAGATAGAAACTGATGTAATACCATGTTTACTCTGTGTTGGTTTTGCAGTACTTGGTCAGTATGCCCGAGTCGAGCTGCAGTAAAGCTTAGCATGAAGGTGAGGAGGATGAAGGTGATACAAAAGCTGACCACTTTGGACATTGTTGTATTGTTTGCACTTAGCTAGCGTATAGCTTAATGAGGTTACTGGTATATCATACTTGGGTGTGGTATATATAATCAAAGGAATAAGATTCAGTAGACAGGGTACTGTTTGGTGTGTCTAGGCCCCAGTAAGAAGACGTCGTAAAATAACATTACCAAACATTCAAAACTAGGCTGCGTGAGAATCGTACGTATGTCCTTAGATTAGACCTTAAAATTTAAAATATGCTGAAATAAGAATGTATCATGAAAAGCCAATAGGTAAGATATGATTCTCGTGAAATGTGTGAACACCTTTTGTTCATATATGCTTCCTGAATTGACGAATTTGATCTTAATATTCTGGAAAATTGAATTTATTTATTTTTTTTTTTTTTGGAAGATGTGAATTTTTTTTGCTTTGCTCGCGTCAATATCATTTGTGACCCAAGGTTTGGTGGTTTTTCCGGTATCAAACAACCGACTTTCTTTTTTTGTTGTCCAAAAGGCTAAGATTTGAGTCATGTGAGTTGCTCGAAAATAGGATGCTATAACTAAAATTCTACAATGCCTACAAAATACCATTCTAAGTGGGTCATCTCTTATGTTTTCTTACTCTGGAATTTTATGGAGGAGATTAAAGAAGACAATGGAGTAATCAAGGCTTGTTGCTCAATTTTCCATGCAAGAAAAATGGTGCTTGGGGACTAATGTGGAGCATAATTAACATCTCTTTCATACCTACACAAACATCTCTTTCATACCTACACAAACATATCTACTACATCCGTTACATATTATTTGCAATAATTATCTTGGCTTGTTCTCTTAGGCAAAATTTCTTAATGGGTGATTATTATAGTTAGAGATATGTTATTAAAAGTAGCAGAGAGAAAGTGAAAATCAATTTCTTAAATTAGAGGCCTGTGGTTATGTGAGTATGTGACTTTAAAAAGTTGGAGACAAAAATTGGGAACCAAATTTTATGTAGGGGCATCTGAGTTTAAATTTTAAGTACTCACCGTAAGAAAGTCAACTGCTAATCATCGCCCACATATCTCTACATAAAGCCCACAATCATTTTTTTATTTTGACGCTTTTACCCTTTTTCTAATTTGTAGCCAAAACGAAATTCTCTCTCACGAAAAATGTGGAGCAGGACTGGATCGTCGTGGGGCGCCGGAGAGCCGTCATCGTCGTCGGAAAACGAGGTATGTTGAGGTAAAAAATGACGAAACGCTGGCCGACGTTTGGCCTGACCGCCGCCACCGTGGCGGTGTCTCGGCCAGACGCCACCGCCACGGTGGCGGCAGTCAAGCCAAACGCCGGCCATCATTTCGTCATTTTTTTTTTGAATTTTATTTAAAGTTTTTTTTTTTGATAAATTTGAAATTAAATATGTGTTAATGATTTTTAAAATAAAAATAAAAAATTATGTTTTAATTTTGTATGTGTAAATTTATGTTTTAAATATGTGTTAATAATTTCATAAAAAAACAAAATTATGTTTTAATTTTGTATGTGTAAGTTAAATATGTGTTAATAATTTCCAAAAAAAAAAAATTATATTTTAATTTTATATGTATATGAATACTTTTACAAATAATTATGTGTTAATTTTGTGTAAATTTAGAAATTAAATGTATTATGCGTTAAATATAGAAATGAAATTTACAAATAAAAAATTTAGAAATTACTTATGTGTTAATTTTGTTTAAATTTATTAATTTAATCTTTATATAATTATATGTATTCAAAAATAATATGCCATTGTTGCAGAATTATGGTGGAGATGGAAATGATTACAGTGGGATTTTTGTACATGATGGTCCCTTCGAAGATGCTCAACAAGCGATTGATTGGGCAAAACAGGTTGCAATTAGATTTGGTTTTTGTTTAGTAGTAGCAACTCATAAATCTCAACGGGATGGTAGAATGGATTGCATTTTGAGATGCGACTGTTATCGCAAAAGGGAGGAACGGGATTTCAGTATAGCAATTTGGTTTAATACAAAGCGGAAAGGTTGTGGGTGTGAGTTCAAAGTAAAAGTTCGACAACACCAAAGTCGTGACGGTTGGGAAGTGAAGGGTTACTCTAAGTGGGGGTATCACAACCATGAGATGATAGTAAATGAAGTGGGTCATCGATAGTTAAGCGGCCTAAGTCTTGTTGCAAAACTAGTTGTCAAAGAAATGAGTGATGCTCATGTGAAGCCTGCTAAAATATTAGCATCTGTGTTAGAGAAATTTCCTGAAGACCAGCCAAACCGAAGACACATCTACAACGTTAGACAGAAACTGAGGTTTGAACGGTCAGAGGGAAGGAACCCTATACAATAGCTTCTACACCAGGCACAAGCACGTGGTTACCTGTTCTGGTTTAATTCTGATGAAGAGACATTGGAGGTGACTCATTTATTTGTTGTGCATCCTAATTGTGCTGATATGATCAAGTCTTGGCCATCTGTGATTTTGATCGATTCAACATACAAGACAAACAATTACAAGTTCCCACTGGTTGAGATGATTGGGATGGCTCCAACGAACCAGAACTTTCTGATTGGTTATGCAGTCATCAAGGATGAGACGACTGTGAGTTATTATTGGGTGTTGGAGAAGTTGAGAAACTTCATCGGCCCTAATGTTCAGCCATCAGCCATCGTCAGTGATTGTGAGGGAGGTCTCTTTGCCCTTATAGCGGAGCTGTTTCCAGAATCGAAGCATTTACTTTGCACATGACACATCAACAACTGTGTGAAAGTCAAAGCCTACAACTTTTTCAACAAGAATTTAGATTCAGCAGAGAGATTGGTAAATGGTAAGTGGCGGAAGATCCTGCAAGCTACCACAGAGCCAGAGTACAATCGAGCCTTGGATAACTTTAAGGATGCGTACCAATGGTGTTCGGCAGTGGTAAACTATGTGATGCAGCAGTGGATACCTCACAAGGAAAAGTGTGTCAAATATTGGACAAACCAAGTTCTTCATTTTGGAAACACTACAACATGTAGAGTTGAGAGCGCTCATAGAGCTTTGAAGGATTGGATTGATTCTCCCACCTCTGCTCTGGATACACTGTTCGAGAGAATAAACAAGGCTATTGATACTCAGAAGAACAACATCAAGAACTCTCTTGAGGACTCTAGACGGCGACATGGTATGATGTACGACCATTTCATATTTAAGATTCTCCATGGTCATGTGTCACACTACTGCTTGGGGTTGATTCTGAGCGAGCACAACAGGAAGAAGGAGTTGGGTGATGAAGTGGCTATTCGGTGTGGATGCGCTATATCAGTGACTCATGGACTACCTTATGCACGTAATTACCCAAGATAGGGCGTCGTTACATGTTGATCAGGTTCATCCATTCTTGCGGACACTCGTTATTGGAGAGCATGTTGCTCCACAGACGGTCAACCATGAACAGGAGGAGTTGGAGCAGTTTCGTTCGATGTTTGACCGAGTGTCCTCCAGTCACCCTTTAATCATTCGTGATGCTACCCACGTACTTCATGACATGTTCAACACGTCATGCTTGGATCACGAGGAACCTGAAGGGGTCAAGCAACCTAGAGGTTGATAAGCACGGTGGAACAGGAGTGCGTTTGAGTACATTCGTGGTCGTGGTCGTTCATCGTCATCCAGTCGTAGCCAATCTTCTTCGTCGGTGAATATGCCCGGAACCGGTACAATACTTTACTTTAATTTACTTTTTCGAATGTTTGTTTAGTTTACTGTTGACTTGTTAATTGTGTTTATTGATATGTGCAACAGGAAGAGTGGATATTGATCAGTTTCCATATAAGGACAGGATCCCTAACATCATCATGGAATACTTGGACGGGTGGAATGATGTGGTTGCAGATGGTAATTGCGGATTCCGGGTCGTGACTGATGTGTTTCAGATGGGTGAAGACAACTACGCTTTAGTGTGTCAGTTGATGTACAGTGAAATTGTCTCAAACTGAGATGTTTATCGTCATGTGTACAGCCAAGACTTGGATAGTTCTCTGCGGCGTATCCTGTGGGGAAGAGGACCTTGCGGTCAAAATCATTGGTTCGACGCGCCAATTGATCTTTTTGCCGTTGCAAACATCTACAAGTGTACAGTCATGCATTTCGGGCTTGGTTTGCATAGTCGAGCTTATTTTCCACGTACCACGATTCACCCTTGGTGTTTGCATGCGACCGTCACCAGACCGGTAAGAGAGTTAGCTATTGCATTTCTTGGGTCGTCATACAGACATTTCATCCGATTGGACCTGTCATCCGATTTACCGGTGCCACCGATCATACTGCGGTGGTACACCATTCGCACACCAAGCGAAGAAGGTTGGGATATGCTATATCATGACCGCATCCACCATTGGAACAACCTAGCTGCCTTTTAGTTTTTCATGCGTACACCTGTTCTATGTAACCTTGTATTTGTATTGCTATTTTTATTCCATTTATTTATTTTCTGTATTCTAATTTTGACTACAATTATATCTTGCATGCATACTAATTAGTATTTGCGCGTTACAAACTAAAATGATAATGTCAAATTTTAAAAACTTAAAATGATAATGTCAAATGTTACAAACTTAAACGATAATGTCAGATTTTACAAACTAGTATGATAATGACAAAATGTTCTATTAATAAACTACCAACAGATCAGTAATCCCTCTTTGACGCCCACTACCACTGCGCAAGGGCCCGTTCCATAGAATAAGATTATGATAATGTACAAAATGTTCTATTAATAAACTAGTATGATAATGTACAAAATGTTCTATTAATAGCAGCTTTGTCGGATGCAGTCGTCATGTTGTCCCTCTCCTGAAAGAGTCTTTGTCCCACCTGCATCATCTTTCCCATCCACTACACACAACAAAAAAAACATGAAATTCAAAAACGATATATAATAATAATAAAAAAACACACAACAATAAATGTTTTATGAGACATAATGCATCCACGACAGTGAGCGGTGGCACATCATCATCATCGGCGTCGTCACCATGGTGGAGGTCTCTGATCAACCTCGGGTGCGAATACCGGTTGTACCATTCCAGGTAGTGGTGGTCACACATGGGAGGCACCCCAGTTGGCGGCCTCTGCAGCTCCGCAGTCCATAGGCGGGCAACCATTGGAAACTGCTCCTACGTGGCAATCATGCTTTTCGGCCATTGGACGACTTACTCCTGCAACGACGTAGGTCGGACCGCCTTACTAAGCCATGCTGGTGGAGGAGGGACAACTTGGACAAATCCAAGCTGGCGAAGACAACGTTGGGGCATGTAAACCTCTACGATCTCACGATAATGAATCAGTCCCGTGTAGAGGGTCCTAGGTACCCTATTACTAGGGTTCTGGCCGAAAGGCATCGAGTTCACCTGCACATTTTTTTCAAATTAGTAAGATTCATATAATAAATGCATCACAATATAAAATTAGAAATAATTTATACACTTTATCTCTAAGGGGGACATTCTGTCAAGCAATAACTGTAACAATCGGAGGCGGTTAACAGACTTCTTCTCGAACCGCGGACTCCACACACTGGCACGTGGCATCCCATCCCCAATAGGAACCGGGTCACGGTGTGGTCGAAATGCAGGGAAATACTCGTATATTCAGGTCTATAATAAAGTCAGACATCTAGTGATACCTGCCGCATCAGCCCGACTCGAGAATCCTAATTGGCGATACAGATACGCCAACGTAGCCGACCCCCAAGAAAATTGGCCTACTCTGTCGGGCTCACACGTGTCAACTATGTCGCGTGGCCTGTGCTTGTTTATGCTCTTATCCGGAAACAAGGTACACCCGAGGAGAAGAGAAACATATGCAACAAGTTGTGTGTCATGCGTCCTACGTGCAGTAGGGTGCAAACAACGTTGCAAAACGGATGCGATCTTTACACCACAGTGATCCCAAACACCAAGCGCCCCGATGTACAGCGCAGCCCTGGCTCCGCTAGTAAATCTGTTTGATCCGCATTGGTCACAACAGAAAGTCGTTTTCCCTCTGCGCGAATCCCAAGGATGGCCTCGACGTCATGCAACATGATCGTCATCTCACCGAACGGAAGGTGGAAAGAGTTCGTATCCGGCTGCCAATGCTCAATGAAAGTCGTGATCAGCGTTCAGTCAATCTTATCGTGCATGGTAGCAGGAAGCTGACTCACTCTAGTGCCCTGCAATCGGCCGAACATCTCGCTCTCCTCTAGCCAATCCTCAGCCCATCTACACAAAAAGTTACAAGTCTTTTCCCGGGTTTGGCATTTCAAAATGCCTGTATCTAAAGCCCTCTTCTGGTCCTCCCAGATACGGGTAACTATGTGTCCTAGAAAGTTAGGAATCACACTCCCGTCTACAGGTCCCCCAACCACCTCACCCCTCACCACCCAAGAATCATTAATGACCCTCGACCGTTTGCTGCTTACCGCACACAATGGACGCAGATGATGTGCCAGATCTACTAACAAATCTACCATCTCTACCCTTACGCACATTTACCCTATGCGTATCATACATATCATCAAGCCTCTAACTGAATGGACCGTAATCATCATATGGTCCACTCTGATCGTCCATCCTAAGCACCACATCCTCATCTGCGTTCTCCTCCTCCTCCTCTTCCTCATCACCATCATCATCTTCATCCTCCTCATGATAGTGAACCCATTCTCTGCGAGTCGAGGCCGAAATACCACGGGATATAACGTTTCTGGGTCCCGAGCTCTCCATTGAGTAGTTTCTACTTCTAATAACGTCCATACTCTTCCCCGCACCAGGTCGAAAATGCAATACCTAACTCCATTTAAAT